TATAACATACCCCAAAACCCTATTCAGTTATTATGGCCCCTACCTTAAACCTGAAAGGGCTGGGTGTTCAGGTGCTCAGAGGTCAGGGTTGAGGGCTAAGGGGTTCAGTTTGGAGTTTAGCGCTTAGGGCTAAGGGGTTGAGGGCTGAGGGGTTCAGGTTTGGGGCTATTAAAGGTTTAAGGGGTCAGCACGTGCAGGCCAGCGGCGAGGGGCGCCGCGCCCGGTTGGGGCCTTAGATTCGGTTGTGCTGAAGCTGAGACGACTTCCTTATATGGGATCCCTTAAAAGTATCCATTTTAGATCCCCTTTAGCATCCCTTATAGACCCTGATAGTATCCCTTATAGACCCCCTTATAGTATCTCTTATAGACCCCCTTATAGTATCCCTTATAGAACCCCCTTATAGTAGTTCTTATAGACCCCCTTATAGTATCCCTTATAGACCCCCTTATAGTATCCTTTATAGACCCTTATAGTATTCCCTTTAAGACCCCTTCTAGTAGCCCTATAAAGAGCCCAGAAATTGTGGCCTTAAACCCTAAACCCTAAACCCTAAACCCTAAACCCTAAACCCTAAACCCTAAAACCCTAAGCCCTAAAGAGGGCCCTGAAGCGCTCCTGCAAGGTTCCTTTCCGGGCTTCTTCAGGGATCCCTTTAAGGGCCCCTCCAGGAGTTCCTTCAAGGGTTTCTTGAGGAGTTCCTTTAAGGGTTCAGGGTTTAGGGGTTTAGGGGTTTAGGGGTTTAGGGGTTTAGGGGTTTAGGGGTTTAGGGGTTTAGGGGTTTAGGGTTTCTTCCCGGGTTTCTACAAAGGTCATATCAGCGGATTCATCGCAGGGTTTCTTCAAGGGGAAGGGTTTAGGGTGCCCTTTCGATTCTAGTGAAGCTAGGTTTAGGGTTTAGGCTTCGGGTTTAGGGTTTAGGGTTGATGAAGCTATATTGCGCTTGTCGGAGAGGTGTAGTAGGATTGGGAGGATAGGAAGGGAACGTCGTGGAATTGGAGGAGGGTGAAACTGGGAGGTGAATATGAGAACCAGCGCAGATTTCCGAGCAGGAGAAAGACTGTTACCCCAAAGCTCAACTCATTGTCGCCGCCCCTCTATTGCAGGATCGTCAGATGTCCCTTTCTTGAGGTTTCCTCTTTGACGGATGGGCGTCATGCTCAGTAGCTCATAGCTTCTAGCCTGTAGACTGTTGCAGTATAAAGCCACCCCAAAGTTCAATTCATGGTCGCCGCCCTCTATTACGGGATCGTCTAGCCTGTGGCTTCGGCAGCGGATCGGATAGGATTTTAATTTGAGGCATCAGGTGAAGCTGATGTCACAAAGGTTTCATGCTGTTGACGGCCCCGCTTGTCGTTCAGGGTTAGGTTTCAGGGTTTAGGGGTATTGCACTTACAAATGCGGGAGCTTCAGAGCACAAGGGACCATAAGATTGACCACGAATACTGGATCTTTATGAGCACCCTGCAATAAGGGGCACCTCACTTCGAAACCTCGGATGTACACTCACTAAGCCCCAAACGCTAAACTCCTAATGTGGACTCTCTCCCCGACAACCCCCAACCCTAAACGCTACACCCTAAACCTAAACCCTAAACCCTAAACCCTGAACCCTAAACCCTAAACTCTGAACCCAAACTCCACACCATCCTTCCCGAAGCCTCGCGCCCACGTTGTTGACAGCGCTAGAGCCTTCTGCGACCCGCAGCTTCGAACTGAAAGCTCCGCAATCCCAAAACCTTACATGGTTTAGGGGTTTATGGTTTAGGTTTTAGGGGCTTACCCTAAGGCTCTTATTGCTGTCATGGGCTTTCTAGGCGAAGGTTTGGGCTTTGGGGGCTAGGGTTTGGGCTTTCACTATGGGGGTCCATGAGCCTTAGGGTAGGGTCTAGGATTTAAGGGGTTTGGGTTTTGGGTTTAGCGGTTTAGGGTTTCGAGCGCTAGTTTTTATTGTCTAGGTCTACGCCCTGAACCCATGCTACTTTGCCTCATTCCAAATCTGTCGCAGCAGGAGCCAACGGTAACGCGGCGCATGGCCCCCGTCCCGCAGGCCAGAGTTATTCTGGCTTATCGTTTGAGTTTGGGGCTGAGGGTTCAGGGTTTAGGGTTTAGGGTTTAGGGCTCAGGGTTGAGGGTTTAGGGTTTAGTAGGACCATAACGTTAAGGTCCGGGTTTTGGATGTAGGTTTTGGATCAAGCCTATCAAGCGGAGGGAATATAGAAGCCTAACTAATTCCCAACATTACTGTTAGGGTTCCTTATCAAAATATACCGTAAGGGGCCCCGAAACCCTATTCCAACTGTTAAGAACCCTAAGCCCTAAACCCTAAACCCTAAACCCTAAACCCTAAACCCTAAACCCTAAACCCTAAACCCTAACCACAGTTTGCTTGGGATTCTTCAACCGGTTGTCCACATTCCTCAAAGCCGCTTAGTCCAACCTGAAGCCTGCGAGCTGCTAAGTTGCGGGTTTAGGGTTCAGGTTCTATTTTAGGTTTTAGGTTTCAAGTTTCAGGGTTTAGTCAGGGTTTTAGGTTTTAGGGTTCAAGTTTTATTTTAGGTTTTAGGTTTCAAGTTTCAGGGTTTAGTCAGGGTTTTAGGTTTTTGGTTTAGGGTTTAGGATCATCTGTAACACCATCCCCGTATCTGTTGCGATTGCCTACTCTTTGTATGTTTGAGCCTCGTACCTCTGCTTTTGTTACAGAAAGGGACGCTCTGGGGGCCCGGTTTTCCCACATAGTGGACTTTAATGGTTAAGGCATGTTTTCTGTTTAGGGTTTAGGGTTTAGGGCGTTTAGGGTTAGGATTTAGGGTTTAGGGTTTCTTTGTGTGTGTGTGTAGTTCCTACCCTCTTTTATTTTTTAGCCTTACCCCATATGCTAAGATCCTTGTCCACCGTTTCAATCATGTAACAAACCTGCAGACTTCGATGCCGCACGCATTTCGAACTGTCTACCTGTCGGCTTGACTACTAAGCCCCAAGCCCTAAGGAATGAACCCTAGACCCTAAACCTTAAATCCTGAACTCTCAAGCCTAAACCCCAAACCCTAAGCCCAGGCGTCTGGCTTGCAGCGAGTG